ATAGCATAAATACACATAGCAAAATAAACATTTTATTTTTAACTGATAAGAGACAGTAATGTTTTATACCACCATTACTATTCATCTGCAGAACATTTTTATCTTACAAAGCTGTGCCCATTAAACAATAAATCTCCTTTCCTCTTGTCCCCAAGACACTGACAAACATCACTCTTCCTTCTGATTCTGAAAAGCTGACTACTCTGGACTACAGTTGTAGTTCAGTGGGAGAGTGATTGCCTAGCTTGTGTGAAGCCTTGAGTCTGATCCCTAGAAACACAGACACACACACACACACACACACACACACACACACACACACACACACACACAAAGTTGACCATTCTGGCAGCAATTTTTCAATTGTTTTACAGCTTTTAAATGCAATCTATTAATTACTGTGGAAATTTTTAGACAAAATAATGGTATTATTTTCATTATATTATAGGATCTATTTTTACTTTAAATCCTACATTTTACATTTATAAACTCTACCCATATATCAACACCTAGTCACATGCCATCTGCTCCACAAAGGCTCCCTAATTCCTAGACTGGAAGTTTCATCTCCCTTTTTGTGTTCTATTTACTCTTCTGTTCATCTATAAAGGCATATATTATCCTCCCCATACAAATATTTTATCTCTTCTACTAGAGTACAAGTTTCTTACGATATGATTTATTTCTGTCCTGCCTAATACATATAAGAATCCGTGTTAAAACATTGATCACTTTTTCTCAAAATGAGTTTTCTCAATCAACAACCTCACCATTACCTGGGAATTTACTAGAAATACAAAGTTTAAGGGCCCCCTCCATTCCTACCAAGTCAAAGATTCTGAAAAGGGGCTCCTGTAATACATGTTTTTAACTTTCCTGCAGGAAGAATAAGATGCATACTCAAGTTTGGAAGCTACTACCTTACAGAAAGTACTTTCTACCTCCTCTATCCAATATGACCTTAGTTGTACAATATTTGGCTCTTCTGTGAAGAATTAATAACACTACTCCCAGGCCAGCTCTCCTGAGTCCATTGCTGATCCAAGAAAGAGCTTATGGATGTATAGGTAATGATCATTTAGAGAGAGGAATGCATTATGGGACTAATGGAGGGGGGTACCTGGAACAGCTGTAGCAGGATCATTCAAAACAGTGTCATAATGGGATGCCAATATTCCTGGGATGCTAGCCAAGATGGAGGTAATTATTTTCTGAAAGTCAGTAGAATTTAAACTCTAGGGTCTGAAATAAATCTATTTTACATTGCAACATAACAGTGTAGAGACTCTTAAGTACGATTTATTTTAGAGAAGACAGGTAAGCTTATTATAAAGGGGTAATACTATTTAGACCTTAAAGGTCAACATCTCCAAAATCTGTTTTTGTTTTTCTACCACTGAAGAAGTAACACACTAAAGTCAAATGTCTCTGAATGTTGTTGAATTGCAGTAAGCATTTAACTCAAAGATGAGTGACTGATTTTATGATAAGCATCTATCTTCTAGTACAACAAAAAGCAGTGTGTGGATCAAGTAGTCGGCTCTTGTCTTGCAGCCATCCAATCTCCAACAATGAAAAAAGGCAGAAATGGTGATGCACACTCATAAATTCAGTATTCCATAAGCAGAGGAATAAAAACTTCCCAAGTTTGAGGTCAACCTGAACTATATAACAAGACCCATTTCAAATATGTGTGTGTGTACATGTGTGTGCATGTGTTGCAACATTTGATGTGGCAAAACGTATTGAAATTCTAGCCTCTCTCCTTTGTATAGCAATCTAAAACAGACAAAATTGACTGAAATAAAAACCTATACAGAATTTAGATGACTCAGAATTAGCACATTCTGAAAAGATCTGAAGCACTCAATTAATGGAACTAGGCAACCATAATGGGGTTTGAGAATGGCAATTTGGGTAAAAGATAAAACACACTCACACACTGAGTTATTAGAATGTCATTAAGCTCACAAGTCATGCTAGTGTAAATGGAGTGCTGAAGATGGCTTCAAGGAAACAGGGTGGGATAGGGAGGCACTACTGGGAATAGGCACCATGGACAGTACATGGGATTCTGGTGAACTTTATGCCTTACTCAATTTGTTTGGTTCAGGGATTCCATTGAGAATCTGGCAAAAGCTGTGGCCTTCTTCCAAGAAATGTGCACAAACACAAACCTCTTGCTTGCATTTCCAGGAAGCTCATTGACCCCTAAGTAAATCAATTCAGGTCATGAGCTACCTCGGGACTGAGGAGATTTGGCTAAGATTAGACTCTACAGTGCATACTCATCAAGATTTCTGCCATATCAAAAATACTTTTCTGCTCAGTAGATGAATGGATCAAGATGTGGTATATATATACACAATGGAATTCTATGCCTCTATCAGAAATAATGACATTGACCCATTTGTTAGGAATGGAAAGACTTGGAAAAAAATTATATTAAGTGAAGTAAGACAGGCACAAAGAAACATAGGTCCCATGGTTTCCCTTATTT